AGCGCCAGCGGAAATAATCGAACCGGTCGTAGCGGTGAGTGGGGAGGATCGCCGTCAAGTCGCGACGTATCGGAGGAGAAAGAGAGAAGCAAGAAGAGAGAGAGAGAGAGAGATCCCCGACCGACTTCCTCGTAGCTTCCTCGTAATCGCGATCGTGATTGTCGTCGCGAGTTAACCCCGACCGATCGTTTCCACTTGCGCGCAACGTGGAACAACGCGATGTAAGTAACAGGCGGCCACGGGATGACTTTTCATTTCCGTCCTCCTTACCCGGTTCCGAGGAATTCACTTGCGTGAATTTTGCAGCTCTCCCGCGCCGCGAACGATCCATCCAGGCACGTTCACACTCCACGCTGAGATTCAAACGATACGCCGTTACGTTAGTCGTTAGCGCCGCTTAACTTCCACGAAAAGTTCAAAATGGTCGCCGTACTGATCACATCGATGTTCGATCCCGCACCGAATTTTTACTCGCGGACAGCCGTATACTTCACGGATAAATCGATTTTCCCCGTTAGATACACGGTAAGATAAATATTTGATACAATAGCGTACATTTTTCGTAGCTTCTATTAGCCAATATTTCAACTCTCTAACCGCATTCGAGAGTTCCGACTAAAATGGCGAAATACACTTGGAAAATTGTGGCCTCTTATAATGACTGCGTTTCGTAAAGCGTAATGCGCATGATGTATTATTTTGTCCTTGTTTAACATTCGAAATACAACAAGGATAAAATAAAATCACTAACGGAAAGTACAGGACTCTTATAATTTCAAAAAATAATACAGAGATGTGAAGAGCACGTAAGAGTCAACGCAATTAAGTACATATATAATTAAGTTCTATAACACAATAGGTCTGATCGCGTTGCTTGCACTTTTGACCCTTGACATCTTCGCTTTCTCTCTTTTTAAGGCAAAATATGTATCTCATTTTAAGTGCAAAAATATTTGGGGATTTCATGCAACGCGAACAGACCTTATGTATTAAATGTCTAAAAATTTGATAAAAATGCGCATTATATGTTTCGGCTTCTTCATTGAGCCATCTTCAGATACTCTTGACAAATATGTAGTCGATATATTACTTTAGATTAAGATTCTCATATTGATATAGATCTAAACGTAACATTCACCTGTCAGTCGCAAATTTATTTTCTTACATAAATAACTTTGTCAGAACAATTAAAACATCGATGATGATGTGTTAATAAAGATAAAATAATACATCATGTGCGTCATGCTCTTTACGGAAAGTAGTCAATTGGTCAGTTCGCGTTGCTTGAAATCCTCAAATATTTTTGTATTTAAAATGAGATAGATACATATTTGGACGTTGAAAAGAGAGAAAGCGAAGATGTGCAAAAAGTACATGCAACGCGAACAGACCGAATGTCTTCAACGTTTTCGTATGACGGGCAATTTTTTAAGTACAATGTAATTTTTATTTTTAAAAGTACAATGAAAGAAAAATCTGCAGGTTGCATTAATTGGAATTCTAATTGAAAATGGACAAGTAAGAATTTTCTCGTTGAATCTATTAGGGATGCGTTTTGATATTCATTGTCAGTGCTAAAAATCTGTAGTAACATAAATTTTCAGGTGACTGCGACTTAGGATTCTAGCTAGAAGGCTGTCCATGAAGACCAGAACAGAATCCGGAAGATAGACTAGAGCTATAAGAGGTTTGCTTAATTATGTTTATCATTTTCCGAGGTCTGAGACGAAATTCTTCTTATATCTCTATCTCTTATCTAGAATAGGAATGATGTAACGACAAATTTTTTGTTAGTAGTCCAGATATACTTTTTGCTCAGTGTTAGACAAATCGACGTGTATTCATGCATCTATGTCCGGATATTTACACAAAAATTATTGTTAATCTCAAAAATACTTTTTTTACTATAATATTATAATTGTATTTAGAGATTACAATTAAAAATTATAATATTACATTTAAAAAAGCATGTGAGAGATTAATAATATATACAAATAAAGTTTTGTAAAAGTAAATGTCCGGATATAGGTACGGATATAGTTAGTAAAGTATATAAACTTGGATGTTACTTTGTGTATACTTAAAAAATTTCCGGGATCTTGTAATGTTAAGACTTTTGTTGTATTTTTTTAGGTACTTTAGATATACATTTTTTTTAGATACAAATTTCTTAAGATAAATAATAGACATTACAAAAAGTCACTCATGTGTTCGCTGACGAAACGAATTTTTGGTGATAAAGATCTTTTTCAGTTTAAAATATTTTCGACATTGAGATAAACTGTAAACATATTCGATCTTTTGCAAATGCATTGCTTATCTTGATTATCTTGCTTTTTATTATGTATCGTTATCACGTATATTTAATTAATTATATTTTACCATATCCAGTTAGCCGTAAATAAGTTTGTGTGCTCGTAATCAATATATCGATTCTCATAATATCATAAAGGAAAATCGATGTGGATATCATTCTTCACTCGCGCGCGTGTTAATGTTATACAATAAAAAATTAAATTTGCTAATTAATTGCGAGATAAGATGCGAATGGGAGGTAATCGAGTCTAATCGAATGATAACGCATTATTGCTACGTCAATCGTGTCCTATTCTACGGAATGGTATAAATCTTGTTACTAAATGGATAACATCGGAGTTTCCATCGTGAAAGGTGAGAGAATAAAATTAATTTTTTAGTAGAAAAAAAAATTGACCCTATTTTTTAATTAAATTATTAATTATCTATATCCAGTTCTATTTCTTACATAAATAGAGAATAATCTCGAAATGCAGATCATCGGAGTTTGAATCGATAATGAAAAACGATAACCGTATTGATAAGAAAACCACAAATGCAAATATCGGTCGTCGCGAATATTTAGCTCCGCGCGATAAAAAAACAGATCAGGTGTTCATTTCATAAAATAAAAGAACTTTTAAATATCTCACGAATTATTCGTTATCGTGGAAAATGTTCATTATTTATCATCTTAAATTGTTCATAATTTAAGCTTTTTTTTTTTAATACGACAATCATACTTTTTTTGCGCTCAAACGTTCGCAACTTCTTTGCTTTTTCTGTTATTTATCGCTGTATGCAAAAACCCGATCGGCAACCGGTTATTTCACGAATTCGTTCGTTCGTCCGTTTGCGATACAGCGAAACGCGTCGCACTTCGAACCCGTGAAAAAAAAAGAATAGCATCGAATCGCGGGGGGAAAATGCTTGTTAAGACAACACTCGTGGAGAGGCGGAGATATGGAAGGGAGAAATAAGCAAAAGATAACATAAACGAGATATAAAAATTTTAAACCGGTCGAAATGTTTGCTATCTACAACGAAATATGAAGTAAACCTGCGGTCAGAACGACTAGTGAATAATAATGAAAGTAATCGAGAGGGAAAATATTCATAAACTGTGAATTATATATATTTCAAAAAGTTATTCGCTTTGATAAATTTCAACCGCGCTGTTGTTGATCTGACCGAACTCATTAATCCGCTATAATCTCTCGAACAAACAAGTCTTTCTCTTTCCTGCTTCTCTTCTCCCTTCAACATAATGATCCCACTCTGCTGCTGTTTTCTCGCTTATCTTAATTGTGGTAATGCAAAAAGTACCACAATACACTGCCACGCGTGATGCACGTGGTTCGATTTGAGATACCTATTTCCTCTTTATTGTATTTTATTATCATGACAGATAAAAATCGTCGCTTGATTTATATTGGGGAACGAGATTTCTCGATGAGCTTGGAGTGGCTTCTTCCTTGATTAATATCTCAGGACATCAATATATATTTCGGAGCATTGAATTATGATCGCAAATGAAATGTACGTATTCTATAAACTTGCTTTCGAAAGAAACGTACTATATTTATTGAAATGGAATTTATTGGAATTTTATTTTCGTACGAAAACGAGATGATCTCTCGTTGCGACATGCAACCGCACATTAGCTGTCGTTTAATCTGCAGTAAACCCTGACCTTGCCAAGATAACAAGCCTAATTTTCGAGCGTATGTCATTGGTCGGGCATATCTCTCGTTTGTTCTTCGATTTTCTTCTATCTTTTTTATTCTTTCACGAAAAGTATTTAACGAGAGGCGCGACTTATAATTAGACAAGACTTATAATTAGACTTATAATTAGACTGGAAGTTTTAAAAACCATTAATTCGGACATAAACGCCTTGAAATTATTGAGGAAAAGCTATTTCTATATTAAAATATCGTTCTTTTCAATATGTCTGAAATATTAGACATAATAATATATGTATTGACAAATTTCAATATTTCCGAAAGATTATTCGCGCAAAGATAACTTCTTATATGCATCCTCTATAATATACAGAGTAAACGATGTAAAAAGTAAAAGTAAGAAATTGACAATCACAATCGATTATTCTTCTTACATTTGACTGTTATTGGTCGATTTCTTAAGGTCATTTCGACTCAGTCCGTTCAACTTTAATCGACGGTTAGTCCATTAGAATTGGCCCATTGCATCTGTCGTTAAAGGGATGCTGGATCGACGGCCGAACTTGATCGAAGTCATTAGTACAGACTTTTTTAAATTCCAAATTCGATAATAGTGACATCTTTCATTCATTTCTTATACTTATTATATATCATTGTGTCTCGCTCAAACGCATTCATCTGTCCTTATCTAATATAATGCAACGCCATCTCTTAGAAAGAGATCAACTAAAATACTGCTCGGTTTCATGGCTTCACGTCAATTTTATTCATAGCATACGAACGAAATTTTTGGCGACTCTTTTCTCTTATACTAAAGCTCCTAGCTCATTTCTACAAGCATCGTATTGTTCTTTGAGGTTTTCTGTAGGCTGCTGGCTACTT